AGACTCCTGGACTCTCTGCTCAACTAGCAGAACTGACAGCAGTTCTGAATGTTTTTCAGTCTGTAAATGATGCTTTTAATCTTTTTACTGATAGCCTGTATGTGGCTCAGTCTGTCCCCTTGTTAGAAACTTGTGGTGTATTGCAGTTTAATACTCCAGCCGGATCTCTGTTTTCACAACTGCAAAACCTCATTGTTACCAGAAAAAATCCCTTTTATATTGGCCATATAAGAGCTCATTCTGGTCTTCCTGGACCTTTAGCTGCAGGCAATGATTGTATTGACAGAGCTTTAATAGGAGAAGCCTTAATTTTGGATCCTGTTGCTTTGGCTAGAAGAGATCATAATAAGTTTCATCTCTCTAGTCACACCCTAAGTCTCCGGCATAAGATCACTAAGGAGCAGGCTAGAATGATTGTAAAACAATGTCCTAACTGTCTTACTTTATCTCCGGCTCCCCATTTAGGCGTTAATCCAAGAGGCCTTAAGCCTAATCATATTTGGCAAATGGATATAACTCATTATGTAGAATTTGGAAAATTGAAATATATACATGTCTGTATTGATACTTGTTCAGGATTCCTTTTTGCTTCTCTACATTCAGGGGAAGCCTCTAGAAATGTAATTGATCATTGCTTACAAGCCTTTAATGCTATGGGATTACCTAAAGTCCTCAAAACAGACAATGGGCCAGCCTATACTGGAAACAACTTTATATCATTTTGTAAAGAATTTGGCATTGAACATAAAACTGGAATTCCTTATAACCCAATGGGACAAGGAATTGTTGAGCGTGCACATCGCACTCTAAAAAATTGGCTTGTTAAAACTAAAGAGGGGGAATTATACCCCCCAAGGTCACCAAAAGCACACCTTGCTTTTGTTTTACTTGTCTTAAATTTTCTGCAAACTGAAACTAAAGGTCGGTCTGCAGCAGATCGCCACTGGCATCCGGTTACTTCCAACTCATTTGCCAGGGTCATGTGGAGAGACCCCTTAACTAACACTTGGTATGGTCCCGACCCTGTTTTAATTTGGGGTCGTGGTTCAGTCTGTATTTTTTCAGAAAAAGAGAACGGAGCCCAATGGCTCCCTGAAAGATTGGTCCGTCATGTGGACACAGATCTCGAGCCTAATAATTGTGATTCTGATGATGATGGCTCAAAATCCTTATCTGCCAGCTGATTTAACCTGGCATGTAGTCTCCATCAATACTTAAAGTCACCCACTATACGTGGTGGCCAGACTTTGTGTCTAAATCCCTGTCAACCAGCAGCTGGATTAGGCACTGGAACATTTCCGCTTCCAACCTTATTTTCTACATTGCTTGGATAAATCATGTTGCTTTTAACCTTTTAAACCTTGTGTCTCAAGCAGATAGGTTGCCTTCACACAGGATCACACAGGATCGCTCTCAGCAAGCTCAGCTTTCAGCGTGGCAGCTATCCATCGCTATGAAGAATTGCAGCTAGTGCACACCCACAGGTCCTTTGGTCTGAATGTGGTTTTGGTCTTTTGGGAAAGAGTGTGCCAATCGATGGGGCCAGTTAGTCAACGACGGGTAAGAGTGTCTTGAGCTCCTATAAACCTAAGACAAGAGGCTTACATCAATATGCTATGTATGTTCCTCAACGACGGGTAATATAGGAGTAATATAGATGCCAACCTAAGACAGGCACGGTCGCCCAGACACTCTGTACCCTAGATGGGATGAAATATTATTCCCCATCCAGCAGCTGGCACTGCTCATATCTTATAAAACTAAAAAGGGGGAACTGTGCCCTTCCCCCAGCCTTGAGCAGGCCTAAGAGATGAGACCTTGTTTACCACAATAGACCAAACAATAGGACTCTGGCCGTAGGCATTTCCTGCCCTTGGCGAGGAGGCAGTGCTTGCCAGTGCTTGCCTTGGCACCTTTCTGTCTTCCTGTAGCCTGGTACACGAGCTGAGAAGAATAGACTGCCTGCTGAGCTTGCTTTGAGACATCTCCGGCCTCGGCCCCGCAATTACCTATGGATTCCTCTCAGCTCCAGCAGGATGGTTTCCGTTCACCCCCAGCGCTCGCCCCCAGCTGGATGAAGCCAGAAGGAACTCTGGGGGTGGGGGTGGGTTACCCCCTTTAAATTGAAAGCTGAACATTAAAGCATTGAGCCTCGATCAGAAACCTTTGTCCTGGCTTCATCTCTTCCCGCCCTCCTGTCCCTTCCCAGCCTCTCTTTCAGGTGAACCTGGTCATCTGTAGCTGCTGGCGGCAACAGAAGCCAAGTACATGAAGACCGTTACTCGGCCAAGAACCTTCATTGGGTTATTATTGTAAAATAAATCAATACGTGTTTAAACCTTTTAGTCTTTGTAAGAGTCTTAAAATATGTACCCGTTAAAACTGGATGTAGGGCTAGAGAGAGGGCTCAGAAGTTAAGAGTACTGGCTATGCTAGCAGAGGACGATTCCAAGCATCCATACAGTGGTTCACAATAATCTATAACCCCAGCTCCAGGGGGGTCTGGGCATGTGCACAGTGTATGTCCATACCTGCAGGGAAAACATTCATAAAATAAGGAAATTTTAAAGATAAAATTGGCCAGGTAGTGGTGGTGACACATGCTTTTAATCTCAGCACTCAGGAGGCAGAGCCAGGCACATCTTTATGAGTTCGAGGCTAGCCTGGTCTCCAGAGCATGTTCCAGGAGAGCCAGGGCTACATAAAACTAAAATAATAAAATTGGAATAGGGGCTGGAGAGATGGCTCAGTGATTAAAGCACTTCTCTTCCAGAGGACCTGAGTTTGGTTAGCAACTCCCATGTCAGGTGGTCTGAAACTAACTCCAGTTCCAAAAAATATGATCCCTGTGGCCTCTGAGAGCACCTGCATTCAAGTGCACATTGGTACATACAGCTACATATAATTAATTTTTTAAAAATCTTTTAAGATGAATATAATTCAACCTTTTAGGGTTTCAAAATGTATGTACAACATACACAGTCTAAAAGCTGGGGAGATGGCTCAGTAGATAGTGTTTACTGCATACATACATCTGAGTGCAAATACCGAGCACCCAGTGAAAAGCAGAGCAGCTCACATTTACAGTTTCAATGCTGGGGGAGAGGGAGACAGACATCCTAGAGGCTGGCTGGGCAGGTAATCTAGCTAAAAAGGTAAGTTCTGGAGTCAAAAAATGTCTCGGGGGCTGGAGAAATGGCTCAGCAGTTAAGAGCACTGATCTCTACCAGAGGTCCTGAGTTCAATTCCCAGCAACCACATGGTGGCTCACAACCATCTGTAATGGGATTTGGTGCCCTCTTTTGGTGTATCTGAAGACAGCTATAGTATGCTCATAAATAAATGCATTTTTTAAAAATTAAAGATAAAATATATTCCAATAAACTAAATGTAAAGAAAATAGAGGAAGCAATTTGGGGGCTGAAAAGGATGAGCATAACCAAGAGACTTTGGAAAGTAAAACAAAACCATGCTTTTTAAACTGCAAAGCACCGCTGAGAACCCACCATAATGGACTTTTATTCCTGTGCAACTGTAAGCAAAAATAAATTATATCCTCTGTAAAATAAAAAAATAAAGGTGGATGAGTTGACAAAATGGCCCAGTGGGTAACGGTGCTTCCTGTTACGCCTGATAATATAAGTTTGATCCCTGGGACCCACATGGTGGAAGTGTTGTGCCAGGAAGCATTTGTGAACCTCAAAAGACCACCAAGGAGCCGTGTCTGAGTAACAGCATTAGGGACTCTTTATCACAAGCTCAGGCTTGGGCTCTCCTCCCACCCAACCCTGACACATGGGGATGGGAAGGGAAGGCGGAGCAGCCCCGAACCCTCAGCAGGACAAGGTTTTATAGGAAAATGGGAACAAGTGAGGGGGCGAGGGAGGGGTGTCCAGTTTGGCAAGCACCTAATAGAATGACGATAAACCAACAGGTACTCTGAAGCAAGACCATATGCAATCACGAACGGTCTGAAAGTACGTCTGAAGCAATCGGACTAATCTTTAACTGTTGCTAGGAAGTAACTAGGGAGTAACTCTGGCGAAGGACAAGCCATGGGGTCCTCCCTTCGTGGATGCAGCATGGGTACTGCTACAGGTCAGGTTCTCAGGCTTGTTTAAGATGGAGACCAGTTTGGCCTCTCAACAGCCACCCCTGTAACTCTAGTTCCAGGGGATCTAACACACACACACACACACATATATATATATATAACAGACACACACACACAGGTGTATCTATAAATATTTAGTACAGATGTATTATTTTAAAATATTTGTAGTCTAGGTTGATTGAATCTGTGGCTATAAACACACAAGTATGCGATTGTACTTTGGTGTTATAGGCATTCCCATATTCTCATCTCTAAGATACAGAATATATTATCTACATTTCTGAGTTGGAAAAAATTAGCAACCCTATATACAAAACATAACAGTTTTGCTTAGGGCTGGAGAGATGGGTCAGTGTTTGGAATTTCTTGTTGCTACTGAAGAGGACCCAGGTTTGATTCCAAACATCCATACGGTGGCTCACAGCCATTTGTAACTCCAGTTCCAGGGGATCCAGTACATGCATGTGGTACTCATACATACATACAGGCAAAGCATGCACACACATAAAAGTGAAGTAAGTCTTGCCAGTTGTAGTGACCCACATGCCTTTAATCCCAGCACTTCTGTGTGATTTCAGGGCCAGCCTGGTCTACAAAGCAAGTTCCAGTACAGCCAGGGCCATTACACAGAGAATTCTTGTCTCAAAAAACAAAGAAATACCTCATTAAACAAACAACAATAACAGTTGTGCTCTATCTACTGAAAAGTTATTGTCAAGATTTTACATGGAGACCTCAGCTTGGTATCACGCAAGCCTGTAATCCCAGCTGCAGAGATGTAAGCAGAGATCAAAGTCCTAGGGCTTCCCTGGATTCAGCCAAGTTCTTTGCCTTCCAATGATACACAAGGCTCTGCCTCAAAGCAACAGGAAGTAAGAGTCCAGCACAGATATGAAAAACCGTTTATTATCAGGATAGTACAGTTCTCATGGAGCCTATACACAAGCTCCAAATTACATCCCCCCAAAATATCAAGACTCCTTCACAGGATGATGCACGCGTGCTCTATGCATGAATGACCCAGTCTGCTTTTTATCTTCTTCCTTCCTACTTGAAGCTCAGTTGCTATCCTGTCTTCTTTATAACGTTCTTAGCATATGCTGGGATATCTGTGCTTCTTTACAAAGTTTACCATCTCCCCCCATGTGACACTTTTATTATCTGCCTTATAATAGAGGCAAGTCAGTTTGCTGGGGACAGAAAGATGTTAAAAAAGACAGCAAATAAGAGACAAGCTACATATCCAGCAATTGCGATCCAGAACCTGGGGTCTTTGAGCAGGGTCTTGTCAAAGCAGCTGAACACGGTGTAACCTATGGACATCCCAGCAAATCCGCCTGCAATGTGAGCAGCGAAGGACACCTTGGAGAAAGGGGGAAAATAGAAATGGATGGAGAAAATGCTAATTGTGTATCTTAGCTGTGGATCACCTATTTGAGTGCAAATATCATCATAGTTTTAAAGTCTGGGTCTCAAGGTTAAGACAGAGGAGACACAAATTCCCCCTTTCCCCCCAAGACAAGGTGATGTTGTAAAGCACTTAAAGCTTTAAAAATGTGGCCGGGCAGTGGTGGCGCACGCCTTTAATCCCAGCACTTGGGAGGCAGAGGCAGGCGGATTTCTGAGTTCGAGCCCAGCCTGGTCTACAGAGTGAGTTTCAGGACATCCAGGACTACACAGAGAAACCCTGTCTCGAAAAACCAAAAAAAAAAAAAAAAAAAAAAAAAAAGCTTTAAAAATGTGGCCAGGCATGATAGTCCATGTTTTTAATCCCAATACTCAGAGGCAGACAGATCCCCATGGGTTCAAGACCAGTCTGGACTAAAGAGTAAGTTCTAGAATAGCCAGGGCTACACAGAGAAACCCTGTCTCAAAAAAATATAACTAAACTAAAACATTTTCTTTTTTGTTTATATAACTTCTTATTACTGTGTATGCATGTTATGGTGGGGTACACATGCCACAAAGCACATGTGCAGGACAGAGGTAACTGTGAGGTCAAGTCTGTCCTTGCACACATACATGGCTTCCAGGACTGAACGCAGGCTTCCAGGCTTGCAGGGAAAGTGCTGGACACCTTGAGCCAGCTCACCAACATAAGCCTTTCTCTCTTTTTCTTCCCCTCTCTCCTCTTTCCCCTCTCTTTTTCTTTCCCCACTCTCTTCCTTCCTTCCTTTTCCTTTTCTTTCCTTCCTTCCCTTCACCTTCCTTACTTCCCTTCACCTTCCTTCCTTCCTTCCTTCCTTCCTTCCTTCCTTCCTTCCCTTCACCTTCCTTCCTTCCTTCCTTTCTTTCTCCCTCCCTCCCCCCTCCCTTCCTTCTTTCCTTCCTTCCTTCCCTCCTTCTATCCTTCCTTTCCCCTTGAGACAAGGTCTTGCTATGTAACCCTGCTTTATAACTCACAGAAAGTCTCCTGCCTCAGTCTCCTCAGTGTTAGGATTATAGGTGTGTACAACAAACCCTAATAAAACATGTCACCCACTCACTCTAAGCACACAAGACAGAACCACTGTTACTCTTATCCTCTTGACTGGCTTTGCATTTCGGATGCCTCTCTTTATAAAGTCAGCCAAGAAACCAGGATGGGACTGGCCATGAGGTATCTCTGTTGTCAGAAACCATTGAAGTAGGGTACAGAATTAAATAACATTAAATAACAATAAAAACAAACTATCACATTCAAAAACTAACCCCAGAAAACCTGAAAATTACCTTGGTCAGCTTTTTTATAGTATACTTGGACACGAAATTTTATTGCTATATCCTCCCTCCCGCCCCCAGACAGAGTTTTCTTTGTGTAGTTCTGGTTGTCCTGGAACTTGCTCTATAGACCAAGCTGGTCTCGAAGTCACAAGTGCCTGCCCAGCTCATTCTGATCATTCTGATCCACTTTTTTTTTTTTTTTTGAAGACAGAGTCTCACATGTCGCATTCTGGCCTTGAACCAATGATGCATTTGAGTATGCTCTTCACTCCTCACAAGTGCTGAGATTAATGGCGTGTAAATTCTCTGTGGGCAGGGGAAGCCCTTGTCACCTGTTTTTGAATAGCTACCAGCATGGCAGACAACATTGAGAGCCAAATGACAATCTGAACTCCAATTTCCTCAGAACTTTTAAATTTTCTTACTGTTTGCTTTTGGTTTAGGTTGTGCATATATGTGTGCATGTGCATAAGTGTGTTCGGATGTCTATGGGTATGCATGAATATGCAAGTGCATGTGCATGTATGTATGTGGAGGCCAAGGCTAACTGTTCTCAAACAGCTCTCCATCCAGCCACTTTATTATATATTGAGGTAGGTAGGTAGGTAGATAGATAGATAGATAGATAGATAGATAGATAGATAGATAGATAG